ATAGAGGTTAGTAATCCTGGGAAGTTTCATGCTTTTATCAAAAAATGAACAATTCTGGTTATTTTTGGCTCTTAACAGCAGGACTAATTCAGCCGCCTGAGATGGATAACTCATCTAAGTATTAATCTGGTGTTTCGCCAAATTATGTGGCAAAATTCGTCTTCAGTTGATTTGTCTGTCAGCAAGTTTTCAGCGTACGAATTAGCCCAAGAGAAATTTTGCCAGATAATTTGTCTAAACACCGGATTTAAACCTAGGCGAGTTATCTGTCTGAGGCACACTAATTACCTGTCTCAGATGTCTAATTTGTCTTCTGAAGACGGATAATTTGTCCCTGATATAAATTCGGCCATTAATAAGATGACCGGCCTCAAGAGTCTTCACGGGCCCGATGAGGATGAGTGTGTGAGTGAATTAATAAGATGACCATTGTATCATATAAACATGCAGTTAAAAGTTAATTTAATTTGATTACTAGTTGAAGGCTGGTCTGAAAACTAATAAGTAAACATCATTGGTGTACCTGGGTCTGCATCACTTGGGGCTGGGATCCAGTTCTCATCATCATCCTCACTATCACAAGCGTCTTGGTCATCAATGGTACGAGGATCTCCTCGCATTAATTCCTATAAACAGGACAACACCTAAATTAGTCATAAATTCTAAATGCATTGTATCTTTTCATGACACTGCACACTGTAATTCTTCGAATTAGCGCCCAGGGCACTTATTTCAAATTTAGGAGAAAATGGGGGGTGCTTATTCGAGGGGGGCGCTTATTCGAGGCGGGGCGCTTATTTAATTTTTCCCAAATAGTGGCTTGACATGATCAATTTTTTCAATACATCATCTGCGCGTAAACAAAAACATAAGCTGTTTATCGACATAAAGAGCTGATCTTTATGATCCTAAAGTTTAAATCACGGCACCGTTAGTACTTAAAGTGTTCAACGTGTTCACTTAACATGTTCACAGACTGAAACAATATACAAATCTAATACTACACGACGAAAACTATACATCCTTTGTTGTCTCGTTATTTGCCCACAAAATGGGGGGAGGCGAGGGGGGGTGCTTATTCAAAGAGGGTGCTTATTTCAAATTTTGGCCGATAGGAGGGGCGCTTATT